TCAAAGCCTGATCCAGCACTTGCCAATACTGCCCTTGAACCCTTTAAAAGTACACCGTATCTGTGTTTGGGCTACCAAAAGTCATGGACAAGTCAGAAGGATGGCCAAATTCTAGTTTCAGTTTAATTCCAAAGGAGAACAGTAATTCTCTTTGGGGAAACACTGTTGTCTTTCTCTGCTGATGGAGATGTGGTTTTGCTGTAGCTCACCATGGCAGGAGCAGTGGTTACCTACAGGAGAAGGATGGCTGGCATGTTCTCGTTCTCTTTTTTTTGCCATTTTCCCATCACCAATCACCGGGAGTGGGTTACAAATTTTACAAAAATGTGAATTGCGAAGGGAAGGGTTAGAGGAGATTCAAACGGTTCTGTGTTCAGATGCTGCCATCAAGCGGACAGACACAGTAGAAGACTGGAACCAGTAGTAAAGACATCGTTTTGAAAGAGGAAAGTGGATGGAGAGACAAAGAAGAAAACAGTATTTTTGCTCCAAGCTTCATATTATAAAAAACATTTTTGGTCTAATAAAAATTTCTCAGTAAGTCTGGCTTATTCTCTTTCTGTATTATAACACTTTCATAGTTCAGCCTCTTTGAAGTTGCACGGACTTGACTTTGAGAGACCACAAAAATATAAGAAGGTTGCTCTGTGCCTGTAGAATTTGCCTCCATTGCTAGGGACAGGGATCAAATTCTTCACTGTGTACTCATGGACTTCTCTGAGACCTTCAGATATGAGCTTCAGCACAGCTTCCCCATCTCAAGGACCTACAGGGGACTGAAATACAAGAAAAACTATAATTTTGAGTCTTAGACCTAATAAACAAAAATTAATTAATTCAATGGTTCTTCAAATCCCAGATCAACAATTCAGTTTTTATTTGAAACTTAAATATTCCCTTTTACATTAAGTCTTATTCCTCTTATTGCGAAGTTTTAAAACAATTTTTAAAAAAACTTTGAAGTTTAAAAAGTTTAAAGTTTACAAATTTGAAGTTTAAAAACTTCACCATAATAATTTTAAAATATACTTTCATCTCCTTCAAGAAAATTTAGAGAAACTTCAAAATATTGCTTGATGTTAAAAAGGACAAAATCCCAGTACATTTTCCGGGTTTCTCTCATTTAATGGCCACAGAGATGCAACAAAGCTGTCCTATCTGTATGGACCTCAAGTGCCAAATCCAATATGGGTTGAGGAACTACAAAATTCTTCTCACAAGACATTTCTTCCACCTAAGCCAGGCATAACTGGATATTTTCCTAGGCTGTGTGACTTCCAGGAACACAGGATTTGTCCGTGCCTCATTCACAAGAAATGCATAGTAAATGAGAAGTGTTTTGGAAAATTCACAATGTATGTATAGTACATGTGCTATGATTTCATGTTCTCTGGATGCATACACATGTAGTTCTGCCAGGAAGGTCCTGTATTTATAAAAACAAAAAGCATTCCATATCTATAGCAAATTGTTTTGCCCTTAAGGCTGTGATAGTAAATAAACTTGCCAAGGCAAATTTGAGAACTTGGAGAGGGAATGACATAGTTGTGAAAAGTATTTTACTCAGCCAGTGCAAACTGCCCTGTTATTTTCAGGGATGGTTTGTACATATTCCTGCAGCCTGGTCCTTAACACTTTCACTCTCAAAAGCTGAAGGTCTGTTTTAAAGAGGAATACTGTGGTCCACTGTTTTCTTTGAAAATAGAACCTCATGCTATCAACCTAGAAGAGCAATCTAGCTGGGTTATTGTGGATGTATCATCAGCAGATGGTTTAGCAATTACAGATGTAATCCTCATTGATCCAAAGCAATGCATACATTGCTGGTTTATGGACCAATATCAAGAATGGAAGTAAAAGGAAAAACCATGTATGTGTTTACCATTCAGATATTCTTCTCCAGAATTTAGTGATTGTTCCTTCATATATGTTCTACTTTTGCAGCACATAGACTTCTCCCCCACCATGGTGTTCTTCCCCTCCCTGGAAAAAAAAAAAACAACAGAACAAACCAACATCCCCCTCTCAAAAAAAAACCCTAAACCCACCCAAACAAGTTCAAAACAAACAAACCAAATTGGAAAAGTATCCACGACCTACATGACCTATCTCAAAAAATCAGATATTTGTGAAACATCTTTTATTTTTGTTGTTTTTGTTTTGTTTTGGTTTGTTTGTTTGGTTTTTTTTTTAACATCAGGTACAGAGGCTAAGATAGCTCAAAGGGAGTTGGTTAAAATAGAAAAAAAAATTACAACAATGTATTTCCTCACGTGTTGGGGAAAAGAAGGAGCTAATGCCCTTAACAAAGTGTCCCACTTTCCTAACCTATCCATCTGCCTAGTTGTTCTTATTTATTTTTTGGTTTACAAAGGCAAAAAGATAGAAAGGTTTGAGTCTCAGAGGCATCATTGCTTGATTAAAGGAGAACATTCAGAAATCAAAATGTGAGACATGGCACCATAGGTTAGTACCTACGGCAGTGAGTATCATAGATATGTTGTCTGTCCATTGATAAAAAATACATAGAGTTAACATATAATTGAACTGGCGTCAATGTTCTGTCTTCTCTTTGCTCTTATGTCAGTATTTATGCACAATGCTTATTTTAAACTTCTTGCTTTGAAGTCCTGTTGCAGGCTATTGATCCATAATCTTTTTTATCATCCCAGTTGTCTGTCACTTGTGTGGTGACAAGGCTTTGGAGCTATTCACTAGACTATCAGCACACATATGAGAAACAAACATACATGTTTAATTCCTTCCTGGAACAAAGAAGCTAAAGACAGATGCTATTTTCTCCAGAATTTCATGCTTAAGGTGACATTTTTTCCCTTTGGAGAAGGTAACAGGACAAGAGACCACCAATGACAGTAAGGTTACTGAGTTTAAATCTATTATTTTTCCGCGCTGTGCAAATGACCTTTTCTCAAAAATGTTTTTCTGTCTACATATTAAGAAATGCACTGTGATGGAGGAACTGCCCACTGGGCCACCATGGCCAAATAAAGATGGTGAAAGTTTATAAATATTAATTATAACTTCCTAAGTTTTGTATGTTTAAAATGCAAAGTTTTGTTACTTAAGGACTTGTTCTGTTCTGGAGCAGACCAGGCTGTAAGGGATAAGGAAGCCTCTGCTCAAAGGTGTGTACCGGCAGCTCAGGAATTTAAGCACTGACACCTAGTAGGTACCTAAAGTTGTAACTGATTTTGACTCAAGATACCCAATGGAGTTATGCATCTTTCTGGCTATCTCCAAATTGACCCTAACATATTTCTAATAATGTTAAAATGCACAATACTGAATTGTATGTTTAAAACATACTGGTTTAAAAGAAGTGTGTCATCTCCTAAAACTCATGTTTCATGGTTTGAAATTCAACCCTGCTTACCCAGTTTTACATTCATCTAGGTTTCTAAGTCTTCTTCAAACTTCACTACAGCTGGCTGAAAAATTGCTAGGTTTGATAAATGTTTGACTTTTCAACAAGAGCTTTGAGAAGGGGCATCTTCTTTATTTAAAATTTTCACCCTGTTATCTGGAATTTAACACCTTCCACAATAGTGTCTGAATACCATTTTCCCCCTTAGCACTACATTGTAATACTATGATATGTGCAAATATTATCAACAGCAAACTTGCTATATACTTGTAGCAATTCAGAGAGATATTAAAAAAAAAAAATCCTACTCTAATGCCATGTATGTGCTTTAGGGCTTTTTTTTTAATTTTAATTTTTAATTGACTATTTTTCCATAGTTGTGAGAGCTGAGAAGAAGCTACTAATTGTTCCTATCTAGGGTGGCTGGGGAAATAAATCGTTACAAAACTGCAGTTAAAGACACCTTTAGGCACTGCTGTTGGAAGCGATTGGTTTTGTTGTTTTAGTGGGTTTTTTTCTCTTGATTTGCTTACAGGGAGCAGTCAGACTGGCAATTTAGGAAAAAGCTGGGAGGCCCAGGAGGGTCATGGCCAGGGTGGGGCAGAGCCGCGGCCTCAGCAGCCCCACAGGTGGTGGAGGCTGAACGCGCGGCCAGAGCTGGCGCTGGGAACGGGGCCCATTTGGCGCTGGGAACGGGGCCCATTTGGCGCTGGGAACGGGGCCCATTGGCAGCTCCGGGCACAGCAGGGGATGAACCAGCTCCAGGGACCAGCCATGGGCTCCCAGCAGCAGCAAGAGCAGACAGGGCCAGAGACGGGGCTGGAGCACAGCTCCAAAGGTACTTTCAGCAGCTGGACTACTTACGGTCGGTAGTCCAAGGACCAAGTGCAGGCAGAGGTGGAGCCCAGCGTGGCTACAGCACAGCTCAGACCAGAACCAGCAGTACTGGGCTGACCCAAAATGGTCCCGTGGGCAGGAGGTGGGTGTGAGCCCCATCCAGGCTCCTCAAGGAGGTTAACCCTTCTTAATGCCCTCAGTCCCCTGATGGTTTTATGGCTTTCACGACCCTTTGCCTATTTGCCATTGTTGCTTTTGATTCTTGAAAGCCTTGTCCTCTCCTTGAAATGTGACAGAAAAAGCAGAAGTGAAGAATGAAAAGCAGCTGTCCTATTTCAGGTGACACGTGACATCTTTTCCTTTCTCCCCATGACAAAGTCATGAAGGATACTTCACTCAGCAGAGGTCTTTAAGGAGTATTTATAGAAAAGTCAGAATCTGATCCTTTAATCTCTACTAGGCCTCTAAGAAGAAAGACATTGAACACCTTTCTAACATTTTAAAATAGATAAATAGAACAATTTATAGATGCAGGATTTCAAGCAAGAGACCTTTAACCTGAAATTAATATCCCAAGGACCTCTAAGATTCTACAGAATCTCTCTTATAAGTATGTAAAAATAGCAACAGTGACTGAATAGGTGAGCTATCAGTGTGAATTTGCTCCTGCTGGTTGCAATTTCTAAAGCCTTTATCAGATAGCAAACGAGTTCAGTATGGACACTTCTTGCAGACTTTGTTGTAAAGTAAGATGTAGAAATGAATAAATAAACAAGTATAGTCCTTAACTGCTGTTTATTTAGAAAAAAAAGCATTACTGAGTAATTTGCAAGTACTGTACTTGTCAAATGAACTATGCACAAGATCAGAAAGCTGCAATACAGTTCCAGTGATAAGTTATTTTTTATTTTACAAAAAGTAGCTGCCTTTAAGAGAAATCAAAATAATATTCCTTGCTTATTAATCCCTCTTTTTTTTTTTTTTTTTAATCTTTTATTTTGGGGAATGAAAAAATTCTTAGCAAGACAGATACATTACATTTCTTCATTATCACTCAGAACAATTTACAGCAAATATACACACAAATACTGAGGCCAAACACAGGCAATAAATTTTACATATTGCTATGAAAAGTTGCAAGATGCTGCTTGGCTTTCAAGAACCTAGATGGCAGTGTAGTTCTTAGTGTAATTAGTCAATTTGATCTTCTCCGGGAAGATAATATTAACTGAGAGGTTTTCCCCATTGTTAGACTTCAGAAAAAAGTTCTTTTTCTTGCGCAGGAGATGACTATATTTGGCATTAGCAAGCCACATTTCACATTTTGAAAAAAAAACAATCCCGGTTGTACCCAAGACAACAAGACATGTAAGCAAGCCCAGCACAACAAAACATATCACCTGGCTTCTACTCAGAAAGGGATCTGCATTTTGAATTGTTTCTTTCACTGTTATTTTCAGGATTTCTTGTTGTTGATGCACTGATCTATGGTGAGCTTTTGAGGGTGGCTTGTAATTCTGCATATGCTTTGTCTCCATATTCATTCCAGAGAGACTTGTGTTTTTGCTAGGATGTTTGCAGGTCATGCCAACAAATTCTGGTTTACAGATGCACTCAAACCCTCCCTGGGGATGCTCACTGCAAGTCCCTCCATTCTCACAGGGGCCACTTGCACAGAATGTGACACGGCTGCTGCAGAGCTTTCCTGTGTAGCCATAGGGACAAGAACAGCTGAAACCCACGCCAACATCTGTACATGTTCCTCCATTCTCACATGGGCTGGATTCGCAGTCGTCTCTATCTATTTCACAGAAGTTGCCAGCAAAACCAGAAGGGCACAGACAAGAAGCATGGGGTGCAAAACCATTGTCATCAATGCATGTTCCTCCATTCTGGCAGGGAGAACTAGGATACATAACAAACACAGAGACAAAATGAAATCCAAAAGAAGAAACTGTTAGGAAACACTTTATATAATAAAAAGAGCTGGTTTTCTTTAGAAGAGCCAATTCCAAATGCAAATCCGCTAAAATCAGTGAAGCTGAATAAAGAATGAGTTTGTTCAACAGCTTTGTCAATACAGATTATAATATCTTCTGCTGACCCTTTGGGCAGGGTTAGTACACCAGTATATAAATTCAACCCAAAGACCTGTGAAGGATTTTAAATTATTTCAAACATTTATTCAAATTAAGCTTCTCACTATTGTTATATGCTTGGAGTTATTTAGCTAAGAAACTACTCAGGCAAGAGAAACAAAGACATGAGCAGCCATGGCTGCTTCGTTTCTACCTGATTATTCCTAAAATAATCTATATATTGTATTGGCAGAGCAAAACAGTGCCATAGCAGCTAGGCATAAAGCTGATTGTTTTTATTCTGCCTGCGTTCCATGACACAAACAATTTAGAAGCAAACAGATACTTTCATTTAAACTGCTGTTCTGCTGTTTAGCCAAATGTTTTGATAGATACAATTATAATAAAAAATATCAATGAGAGAATTGCAGCCTGGGCAAAGACAGCTGTAATGTCTTTGAGAGCAGGACCATAGGAAACCAAGTATTTCTACAAACTCTTTTAGTACTTCCCAACTAGTAGCTAATATGTCATAAGTGACATAAATTAACTATTCTATCTTTACAATGCAACTATGCCTTACTGAGTGTAATGCAAAAAGATGAGGTCACCACTGACTGGCACAAATGTGTCAGTTCAGGGGATCTATGCAAAGTGCCCTTGGTCCTTTAGCTGTCCCTGCTGGCTGACTAGGGTCCCTGCGTCCCAGGTTTACAAATAAACCTCAAACCCCACTTTCATGGCAGTTCATCACATATCAACAAAGCTTTTAAAACTCACTTTGTAAAAAATTAAAGTCTAGGCAAAGTTTAGGACAAGCCTCTTTTACAACAAAACTTTTCTGAATACTTATGTATCCCTGAAAACATATAGTACAGCACTATATGATAGCTGAGAAGTCCAAACTGTTATTTAAGGCCCCCCACTTCCAGGGCAAAATCACAGCTTCAGATGCAGATACTTCACATCTGCAGCAGTCAGTAGCAACAGGCTGTTATGGAGTTCCATGGTGGGACAGAGATTTACAAGATCTGTTGATGTCTGGCTGAGATGACCGTGAACGAGGTATAAGCTCCTGACTACAAATGGTCCCTAATCACAGGTCAGAACACGGCTGGGCTAGTCACCACTGCTCTGGGACTACCTTTGGTAGAGATTGCTCCAAGCACCTCCAGCTCCACTGGGGACTGAAACACTCAGCAGTCACCCATCAGATGAGACTGAATATTCTGGCAAAGAAATCATGTGTCTGTTTTCTGTAGCTTCCACATTCCACATTACTAGAGCTTCCTCTAGTACTGTTCTTCCTTTTAGATGTTGGCTGGGTAAAAAAAAAAGCACTAAAAGAACATATTGGAAGTCTGGGAGCAGTATCAGGAAAGTAAAACTGGGCTTTGACATAGACATGGTTAGTGATAACTTGAGGTAAGGAATTTCAACATATTAACCAGACACTATGTCTTTTTAAGCAAAATATGTAAATTGGAGTTATACAGTATTTCAGTGGTTATGGCTGTCTTGGAGAACCTAGCACACTCCCTTTATGGGTCTCATGGAAAATTGGACAAGCTGGTTTGTCCAGTGAAAATGTGTAGAAGTTTGAACCTTCAGGGCTGAACCTCAGTACTTTCTAGGGAAATTGGGAGAAATTGATGGAGAACATAAATGTAAACCTTTTTCTGAAATTTTCAGAAATGTGAAATGTTGAAATAAAAAAACAGTTAAGGGGAAAAATGCAGAATTTTGAAAATTTTCTTTATTTATTACTAACAGAGTTGCATTTGCCTAATTTAAATATGTTTAAATAAATAAAGCCTTAATATTAATTTCCTTGAATAAATTCTTCTACTTTGCATTTTTGGCATTTAACACAGCAAGGTGTAATATATGAAGGGTTAGTTGTAGGAAGCATTCCATACCGTTCTTCTTTGCTTCCCAAGATAGTCTGGTTTCTTTTAGAAAGTACCACTCACTGCTCTGCTTCAAAGCAGAAACCTCAAAACATCACACAGAGGTCACTAATGCAGATACATGTAAACAGACTAGAACAAACACTTTGATTTGTAAATTGTCCTGGTTCCATCTGTGAATATTAACTAAGAAGCCAGCAGTAATGCTCAGTAATATCAACATTTTTAACATTCCCACTGAGGTAGAGAGGAATTGAGAGGAAGTGAGATGTGAATGAAATGACACCATCTGATGAGGTTTCTTTCTACAACGTGGGATGCAGTCTCCGGTGGACTGTGACTTAGCAGACATGGAGTGTTTATGCTGACAACAGTTGTCTTTTTGAACTAAATGCAGATCTACAGACCCTGCTGCTAATTTTTCTGAAAAAGACAGCTTCTTAGAGAAAAAGAATCACTGTTTCAAGTATGTTGCTTTCTTCAGAAAAATTGTTCATGATTTCCAGGCTAGTTCATCAGCATTCAGTCCAAAAACAGTGCCAACACAAAAAAAAAAAAAAAAAAAAAAAAAAAAAAGTTTCAGCAATTTAAAACCATAAAGTGTTTAAGGAAGTACATAAAATTAATCTGTTATTTTGTTGATGCTGCATTTTTGGAACTCACCTGTTTTTTTGGGATAGCTAGTATATATGTCCACACTGAATTACTGAAATATTTGGTCTACAGGTGAGAATCAGAAAAACCTATTCACATCCCTCATTTTAGGCAAGTAGCTTGGATGTGAGTCGTGGCTCTTTCAAGAAACTTAAATTTCCTCATTGTCAATGAAGAAAAATAGGCAAATCAGAGTAGCTATCTTAGAGGCTGAAAGTAAGTCCAGAAAAAACTATGAGAGTATCCCCCAAATAAAGGCGATGACAAAAAAATTCTAATGACATAAAGTTGTGAAAGAATGGCAATTCTTGCCAGAGAGAGTGAGAGGTGTTAATGTTCCTTAAACAACAACTTCAGGAAGATTCATTCATAAGGTAGATCTGAATACTCATAATTGTCTATTGCTGAGCAAAAAGAGAACCAAAGAAGAGCAAGAAGGTAAGCTCCTAAAAGAAAACTGTGATTTTAGGGTCACAGTTTTACCAAGTTTGTATACACTATAAAGGCATTCTGTATGTTTATGGGATCAGAACTTTAATGAGCTAGAAGACAGCAGATGCTTCTAGATTTGAACAGAAACCCCAAATCACATTTTCTCTAGCACTGAAAGGTCATCTTTTTTCCAAGCTAGTTCTACTAGTGAGTTTGCTGGAAATTCCTTAGCCTTTTGCCTCTTGACCTTTTATTGAGCACCTCTATGAGAAGTCTGGCTCTGTCATCGTTGCTTTCCCTCATCAGGTACTCATACACAATGGACAAGCTCCTCAGAGCCTGCTCTTCTAGCTAAATGACCCAGCTATGAATATCCCTTTATAGGAAAGATGTTCCCATTCTTTAATCATATCCATGGCCCTTCACTGGACTCACTCCATTATGGCTGTTTTATATTGAGTAGCCCAGAACTGGACCCAGCACTCCAGATGTGCCTCAGCAAGACTGAGCAGAGGGGAGGGATCACCTCTCTCAACCTACTGGCACTGCTGTTCTTAATGTCCCATTTCTTTAAAATAATAGAGAGCAATGGTTTCCCTGTTGTGATGGAAGTGAGATTTTTCTCCTTCAGTTAACCATGGGCATATAATCATATGTTGGTGAAGAAAAAAGGACAGACTGGGTGGGCTAGGTGTTTTAATGCAGACAGCTGCTGTGCTAACTACTGTTCTTGTTGGACTGTGTATAAATTATCCCTCACTAGAACACAGGATGGGAGGCACTTCAAGTTTGTTTACAAAAATCATGAGAAAGCATAAATTCACCACAATAAAATATGCAAATTAGCACTTCTAGTATCAAGATTGTGCATAGAAAGCTACACAGGTAACCTGTTAAGTCTTTACAATATTAACAGATCGGATTTGCAGTTTGATAATATCAGCAACTATCAAAGCATTGTGTATTTTAACACAGATATATTTCTACTTAGCAAAGGATTCTGAATAATAGAAGTGTAGATTTTAAATGCATGTCAGAAATCAATATTTACCCATTAATAATGCAGGGTCCTTGCTTGAGATGGCAGTTTTTTCCTGTAAATCCTTGGGCACACAGACAAATATATCCTCCATCACCAGTCTCTATACACGTTGAATTATTGGTGCAGGGCTTTGCTGAACATGGGTGAATATCTGTTTTAAAAATTCCAAACAGGACTTATTAATCTAATGAGAAAGATTTAGTAAATGGTACACAATACTTCAAATAAAATATAGCTTTAACAATACTTCAACCTGCATTTTATAAATTCTTATCTATTCCCCCCACTTTGTTAAAATTAAGTTCAGATTGTTCAACTATTGCAACAATTTCAGCTTATTTCTCTCTTTCTAGGTCCTGCTTGCAAAATGTATTTCAATTGCCCCATTCCATAAATAAGTAGTCTTAAAAATAAAATACTAGTATGGGACAAATAATTTCTAGATAGTCTAGCCATAGTTTCACAATCTTGGCTTCTCCATGTGCAGAATTCTGATAAAGCAATCAGGAAAAGGAAATTTTCCCTGCTCCCTGCCCATGTCATTATGTGCTTATGAAGAAATGTTTCATAAAAACAGTGATCAGCAATTTACAAAAAAATCTGTTAAAATTTCATCTTTTGGCTGGGCTACATTCAACTGTGCCAGAACACAGAGCTGTATGACGTCTGGGCCCAAAGTCACACATCTCATTTTCTTTGCAATTGCCCTGCTGAGCCACTTCCCACTCAAATGATTACTGAATTTTTTAAATAATTAAAACTAAATAAACAAACAAGTGCATATTTTAGCAAGCTACTGCAGCAGCTGCAGAGAAGCGCTGACTGGAAGGTATCTGATGCCTCACATATACATATACACACTTTCTAAGAAGATGAAAAGGGATTTAAGGGCATTTATATTTTACTTTCCACAGCAAAACATGAAATTTAGATGATATCATGGGGTTCTGCAAAATTTTACCCACAGAAAACAACAGTCTTAAGCCTTCAAATACAATTTTCCTTGGATAAAATGGTCTATTTCTTAATGCATTAGTCTGTTCTTGATAGACAACTTAGCGTGCACTTTGAGTGAAAACTCCAGTTTTCACAAGGACCAAAATAATCTTGAATGCTTTTTGAACCAGTATTGTTTGTCAGCTATTTTCACAGACTCTAAAGACATCTAATAAACGGTGTACTTTGATGGAGGAGAAAACATGAATTTTGATGCAGGAGCATGGAAACTCTCTGAAATACATATATGAATAGGTATGTATATATATACATTACTGTCAATAATTGGTGTCAGGTATTTAATTTTCAAATACATCTTAAAAGGGTGTTGTACCAAGTACTTTTAAAACATAATACGTAAATTGCCTCAATGAGCCCCTTTTCTCTAGTTTATTTTACCTCTCAACAGGACAGCCACCAAAATAGTAACTGAGATAAAAACACAAAACCAGGATGTTACATTTATACTTATATTACTTATATAAGTATATATATGTATATATACTTATATATATATAAGTATATATACTTATATTACTTATATAAGTATATATGAGTGTTCTCGATCATCTTAGCCATAATTAATAGTTCCATCAAACGAAGCTGTCATCCTGCAGCGCATGAAGCAATCACTGAGTTTTTTTATGAGGAAGATATGCTCAGTAGTAGTTTGTCACAGGACAATTTTTAGCCCCTGTCTCATGCATTCATAGCACAGGCATTAGAGACTCTATCTGTACTCTCTGATGAGTTTGCCAACAGTCTGGTGGCAAGTAGGACAATTTACTCCCAGCTCACACTGCATGTTGGCTTTTTAGCCAGTTGAGGCCAGGATTGCAGGAGGTCATGGAGCCGCTAACGCGACTGTGTAGGCACAGCCAGGGGTGACAGGCCAACAGATCTGATTTAGCAAGCTGGATCTAACACTCTCACTGGGCTGTCATTTTTTTTCCTGGTAACAAATTGACTCAATTGATTTTCCCTTTGTTATGGTCAGTGTTTGATGTGGTTCCTGTACTGTGCAGTGTATATCAGCTGCAGAGGGAAGCTCTGTGCTGTGCAGCCTAGTTCCAGGGGTTCACACACCAGATTTCAAGGCTGTGTTTCCACAAGATGAGAAGATGTCATGGCATCATGGAGCCAGTTGGACAGGCTCCATTGCAAATAGGTTAACCAGCGGTGTTAACACCAAGACCGACTCACAGATGTTTTCCTTCAAGTGCCTTGTCTGTCTATGTGGCTGCAATAATAGTCACAAATGCTACCACTGATTCTGCCCTACGTGTTTACAGTGGATCAAGCCTAACCCATAACCTGCATGTCTCTAAATTACTAGGAAGGTGATTCTAGGCCTAAACTGAGAACTGGGCTGCTTGTATTAAAAACAGCCACACAATCAGAGGTATTATCAAACCAGCTGGTGATCTACAACTACTCCAGAAAGGAAGTTCCATGATCAAAGCCAAGGAAATCATACACATACTCTAACTTTTCTACAAAACAGAAGAGGTAGCACCACCAATCCAAATCATCTTTTTTCCTCCCATGCTTACTTAGCAAGCAAGCAAATAAACTGCTAAGACTGTATCTCTATTTTAGAAATATTTCAGTTTTTGTAGTGGCCAATGCACCTCAGATCCTTCCACAGTTTCCAGTCCTAGGTTTTTCCTTACTGTTTCCTAATTTGATCAAGCTTCACTTAATGAGACCTGTAAATTAACTGTAACTACCTGTAATGACTTTATACAGGCAGGAAACTGACACCAACTTTTGGCAGAGGCTGATAGGATTAGGGACCGAGCAATAACCCATTTGAGGTTTCAGTGCTTTATTGGGCCAGGATAACAATTCCTATTAACTTTCCAGTAGCTAGAAGATGAGGAGGAGCACCCTTCTCTTTATCCCTTATGACAAATAATGCATTTAGATAGATAAAACCACTGAGATTAAAGACTATCAACATAACATTGCTGCAGATGAAAAAACAGTTATCCTTTTGGCTGAAAGTTCTCAGCATCTCTTCATGGGGATCTAAATTCAAATCGGCAAAGAAGACTCTGAGACCACTCTAAGTGTTGAGAGAAAGAATAGTTCCTGCACTTAAGCAAGGGATACCCTTTTTGGTATTATAGGACTACCTTAATGAGTATGTGTTAAAATAATGTTTTCTCATAAAGACGTGGGTTCAATTTTCAATGCGTTCTTTTGCATCCTGAGTAGCAATTCCAAGAGGGAAACATTGCAAGGCTCAGAACTGCAAAGATATATTAATACTAAGAAATTCAGCTATGCAATTAAAGCTTTTAGAAGTAGCTGTGAAGATGCTACCTTCAAATATGTGGAACTTTGTATTCACTGATAAGCAACAGAACTGAGCCTCTTAAGGTGGCAGAGGGGAGATTGTTCTGTGTAGCTTTAGAAATCTCTGATTGTACATCAGAGAAGGACTCATTCCTCCTCATTTACTGTATGAGAATCTAGGTGTCTGTCTCAGGTACAAACACATCTATGAGATGTGTCCAACAACATCTGCACCTCAGAGGTCACCACTGCTACCACAGCTCCTGCAAACATGCCAGGACTGACTTTAGGAAGCCTCTCTCTGCTCATGCATGCAGCCAGTGAGCACAGGCTGCAAAACCTGATGAGTGAATGAGTAATACCTGAGAACCTTGCACTAAATTCCATGTCACTGCAAGGATGTGACCTACCTAAAACCTTCTGATTCTTTCAGTCATCTTGAAAACCTTATGCAGTTCAAACTGTCATCAATCACCACTTTGGCTATGTATTGGAGACTCATGCATGCTCTATACATTATAAGCCATATACCAACAAAACCCTGGACATTTGTCCTCTTGCAGCTGCAGCTGCATGGGCTGAGCCGTGCATGCTCCTGGATGCTCATTGGTTTCCATCCCATCAGATCTCTCAGACTGAACATTTGCCTGTGTGAGCCGAAATAAACTACCTCAACAAAGGCCAATTCTTCAGCTTGTTCATGCTAAGCTGGCTGATTCTGACTGGAAAAAGGTGAGAGAGTGCACATGGAGTTGTGCTTATCCCTCAGACCTGAAGGGGAAATGACAGCCTGTTCATAATGACCTTTTCCTCAGTTATAGTATTGTTACTTCACTGAATCATCACCAGGTTAAGTAAAGGAAAAAATAAACTCAGTGTTTTCCTTTCAAGAAGTATTGAGAAAAAATATATATAATGTGCTACATAAATATTTAAAATTACTTAATATATACAAAACAACTTGTATTTTAATTAGAATGGCTTACATGACAAGAAGGGAGCAGTTGTTTGTTTGCCTTGTCCCTGATAATTAATGTTTAAAATAGAATGAATTTACACTTTGCTCACACATTTGCCCAATTACAAAAGATACTACATTGCTTCTGCCTAAATAATTATGGAAGTTCGAGGTTTATGTGCTGCTGCCCAGAATCTCCTCATTATCTGGAGCTAACTTTCCATATTTTAAAATTAGCTCTCAAGAAGGACTTAGCATGTCTCCAACACCAGATGGGGCTGCTTCCCCTCACTTTTTCAAGGAGAGAAAAGGATGTGCAAACCTATGTCACAGAGGCTGCCAACCCAACCCTCTTCACAGATGCACTGCCAGGGCTTGGCACAGCTGCCATGCAAGCACCCAGGGAAAGGAACACACTGATTACAAAGTGCACCCTGCCAGCCAGGTTGACATCTGAAAGAGATAAAAGACATGACAGAACAGAGTTCATTTTTAATAAACATAATTACAAGGCTGTCCCCCCCTTTTTGAGGCACAATAAATAAACTTTTGCATACCAAATTGTATTATTTGAACAAAAGCATACCATCAGTGCTTCTGGGATACTAGAAGCTGTTTATGTGAAGAAAACAATTTCGTTCAGCAAGAAAAAAAAAAACAACTAATCAATGTAAAATACTTTATACTGGAAAAAGTAAACTAAACAGGTGTCTAAACATCCATGCTCTATGGTTCCAGTTATCGTATCCTAATAGAGTGCTGTTTCATCACAGTTCCATATTTTCAGAGATCAAACCATTTCAGTTTCTATCACTCTTTCCAGGACTACAAATTATTGAAGCTGACCACTCCTGTGCTAATACCCCTGTCTGACAGATCTTTTTACCTGCATTCACTGGGAAATTCACAGAATCCATTCTCCGGATGGCAGCCGGCTTTACAGTTCACGCCTGGAAGAAGAGATTTATAACATAAAACCAGAAAAATCAGCACATCATGTTCTATACACATTATGGATGTTTTGAAAGAACCCAGACTGCAAAATGTTACTTTTTTTTTTCTTCAGACACATTTTGGCATTATAAAATTTTAAATTAACCTTATCTGGAACATTTTATAGAACGTTCCTATAGGGCAAATGAAATGACATACAGAATTAATCACAGAAGAATACAAGGTTACTTTAGTACACGAAAAGTGTATGTAATATCCCTACAAACCATTTTAAGGGAATAATGTCAGAGCAGATTCACGGATGTTGTTTCACGACATGCCACTCCAAATACATTGTTACGGAGCTACTCGGAACACAAAAGTACTTTCAGTCAGAAGAAAAAATCCATTTAAAACTACTTACAATAAAAGTGCTGAATTCATTTCAACCCTACATCGGATGAAAATAACCATTTTCATTAAATCACGCATAAATAACGCAAGTTAAGGAGAAGAGATCTCGGTCGCAGTTTTTGTTTTGTTTGCTTGCTTAAGCATTTGCACCAAGCAATGCCCCTCTGAAAGATCCCCGCTGGCCGCTGACACCCCGCGCCGACGGCAGGAGAAACGCGCTCCGTCCGCTGCCAAGGAAAAGCTTCCCGACCACACCAGCACCTCCGGCTGGAGCGAGGGCTGCGGCTGCCTGTGCCGCCGAGGGACTCCGGGAAGGCTCCGCTGCCCGGCGGTGGAGCCCGCAGAACTCCCAAAACTTTCCCAAAGTCGCCTCCCCTCCCGCGGCGGCGGCGCCCGGCGGGCAGCGGGTGGCGGTGCCCGGGCTGGCCCCGCCGGCCTTACCTGGGGCTGCGGGGAGCACGAAGGGCAGCAGGCAGCAGCAGCAGCCCAGGATGCCGGCGGCGCGCAGCCCCATGGCCGGGCCGGGCCGCTCCGCTCCCCGCGGGCTCGGCGGACGCGGGGCCGGGAAGGCGGCAGCCCCCGCCCGCAGCGCCGCCGGCTCCGGAGCACGGGGCGGGAGCGGGGAGGGACGGAGGGCGGGGAGGGCTGCCCGCCTCCCCCCGCCGGCAGGGAGCCCCCGGCCAGCGCCGCTGCAGGGGAGCCGCGCACCTCCGGCAGCTCCGGCACCTCCGGCAGCTCCGGCACCTCCGGCACCTCCAGCACCTCCGGCAGCTCCAGCAGCTCCAGCAGCTCGGCTCCTGCCGCGGGCGAGGGGTGGAATCCTGTAGGGGCGCGGGAGAAGGGAGGTCTGGGGCGAGGGGGAGTGTTAAGCACGCCTCTGGACTCCTTGAAACTTCGTCTGGCTGTCCGCTAAATCCTAATCTGGGGCTTGTTGTCAGAAGTCGAAAGAATTCTCCGTCGTTCCCATCAGAGCTCCAGCTCTTTCAGGAAAGACTCAGCGAAGGCAGGGAAAGTATAATAGTATTCTGTTTCTGAGGCTTGAGAATTCAAAAAAGACTCCACCAAAACGCCCCAAAGTGTACCTTTAGCAGTCATGGAAAAAAATTTAAAAAAGCATTACTTTTGCCACAAGTCACTTTAAATTCGGCATTTTATTCTGTGACTACATTTCTGTTTCATATCTCTTTAGTCTTCCTTTGTGCCGTCCCTTAAGGAAATAGACTGGCTATTTCTTATTCTTTGTGTTCCTTCTAGTTCATTGTTTTCTTTTAAAGAAGTTCTGCCTGGTTTTTAGGATTCCTGAGGGACCTGTTTTTTGCCTGCTGATGCAGTGCTTTCTTCCCCGAGACCTCATTTACTAATTTGATTGCCTTTATGTGAAGCAACTAGAGATCCTTAAGCTATGGTGAGAAAACTACAATGAGCTAATTCAAGATTACCTGCTTGAAAATGCACAGTGGAAAGCACTCATTAGCTTCAGATTGTCCATATTGTGGTGGTATTTCAAGACAGTGATCTCACCTAGGTTGAAAAAGTTTGCTACTAGCAGTGCTGCCTTTTAGTTTTAACCAAGAATGGAGGAAATGAAGAACAGAAAAAGGAAGAGTAGAAAATGAGGGTTGGGTTAAAAGAACTTTCAGGGAGTGAGAGGCAGACACTGCTTCTTCAAGGCCCTCCAGAAGCTTTGGTATCTGAGATGAGCTATGCCTATCTGACTCCATAGGCACAGCAGCCTTTTCTGCTTGTCTTGCTTTCCTTTTACTGAAACATTTATGGTTTTGAAGATTACTTTGCCTCACGGCTTTTTCTGTAGCTCACCAGACCAAGCCTTGCTGGGGTATTGTCAATGGCACCCTAGAAAATGTAGGGTGCTAATGATGACTGCTTAATCCTTTATTCTGCCCTTCTGTGAGCCTGTGCTTCTGTAGGGTAAATAGTAGCAACTCTTTGTTCACTTTGCTTTTATTCTTAGTTATTCACATTCCGGTTGTGATAGGTCCAAGGTTGTTTATTCTTCCCTTAGGCGATAAGTTCTCTGCTTGCTATTGTAGAATACCTGCTACCTGCTACAGTACACATTTTTTTGATTTTTGGACCAAGAGTTAAAAGGGTTCCAAGCATTCTATGGTTTCTGTGATATTCCAGTATTACCATGACCAATTAGTAAAGGAAGGATTTAATCTTTCTGCCTTCTACTCTAGAAATTTCTCCTTGTATTCTTTCTTCAGCCCTTAAGAGTAAAAAAATCTGTAGAATTCATAGGTTTTATTCATACACTCAACGATGTCAAATTGTCTTCTCTAATTTTCATTGTAAATAGAGGCTTTGACATATGATGACACATTTCTTCTATTTTCTGAGATAACTACTGAATACCTGCTGTATTGTTCAAGACCGACTTCTTACAAAAAATTACTAGGAAAATCTGTTTCTACCAATGCTATGTACAATGTTATAATGGTCATTGCAAACTTCAATTTTTGAATTCTTCTTGTTTTTTAGGCTTTTTAAAATTGATATACTGTTAAGCAAAACTATGACTTTTTAGAGCAACTCAACTTCTTACTCTCCTTTGGCTCAGGGATGCCTCAGACTGCTAAAAATAGGGAACATTTAAATTTTCCCATATCTTCTACTTTCTTCAACTGTTATCTAAACAAAACTTGCTAATTTTATTTCTAAGAGGTCACAATCCTTTTCTTTTAGAGCAGAGTCTATCTGCTGAGATACTAATCCAAAAATAATTTCAAAGCAGAAACCCAGCATTCTGTAAATCCAGGCTAATTCTCTTCTCTCCCCTCCTTCCACCTGAGTTAACCAAGGTGAAAATAATTTTAACTTGGCTTGTGTACTGCCAAAAGCACTCTGATCCAAATCATCATTTCCACAATACTTCTTGAAAATTACAGTAATTGTGTTCTGTATTTCAGATCTTAGATTTCTACTCAGGATAACTTTAATTTATTTTACCTCTTTGTGTCTTTCCATTAGAAATTGGAAAGGAAAGAATCTCATGAAATAGATGCCTGGGTATGGAGATCATCCAAGGTGTAAAGACTACTTATTTCCTCACCTAAAAATACTTGAATGGTGAGTACAGATTGAGAAGCACTGGTCCAGTGATCTCCTAACTGTGACTATTGGGAAACAGTTTCATGGAAATCTTGGGACATTTTCTTTGGGACTGATTATAGGAATCAGGGGCATCAGATCATCCAAGAAACTGACAGCAACAACCGAATCCAGAAAAAAGTCTTTAAGGATCCTTGTCCAGACCTAATAAAATACTTCATTTGTTCCAGGAAAATGGCACACAACTATTCTTCATTCTTAGACAAGAATGAGGAACATATTCAAGGGCTGAAATATTGGAAAAGGCAGATTGAGACTGAGAATTTAAGTTGGCAAGAATTTTCTTTTGTACATTGAACATAGAGTTCTTCATCCTTCTGATCAGCAACGTGCAAGGAACTTTGCAAAGTCTGAAAATGCAGAAGAAATCCTTGAATTTATGTCCTGGCTAGGAGTTCTTGTACTCCCAAGATCCTGTTTACTACTCTAATGTATTTTGACTGGATAAAAGTACAATCACATTATTAAAATTTCATTGTTGCAAGAATCTGAGGCTGGAGAATCTGCATCAGTGACAAGAAACACAAAGCAATTAATTGGTATTACAGCTCCTGAGGGTCCCTGAAAACTCTGGTAGCTGGAATCTGAGGCTATCAACAGTGTCACAAAGAAACCATAAACCAAATGAGACCTCACATGATGGGGTGAAATAACTGATTAATTTGGACTACTTTTATACATATTGCAAAGAGAAAGGGAAAAATATCAATTACAGGGCAGTGCCACCTGTCTGGCACTTTGTGAATTACTGTATCAGAAACTTATCAGTGAAGACGTTTATCTTTCATCCCTTGATCTCATCAGCCATGAATATACACAGGTATGAAGTTTTAGGCTCTGTTACCTGGTTTTACAAGTTTGTACTCAATGACTAGTGCTGTCCATTAGAAGAAAGCTCATCAGATGCAGCTGGAGCCCTAAGGAACTATTTTTCACTCTTTCTGTAAGGCTGTCCTATCCTAAGGTGTGCTGGGACCAGATGGGCTGAACCAGCCTACAGACTTGCTGGGTTTGAGCAGAACATCCTCTTTTCCCTTTCCCTCTAACCCCTGCCATGTCCCAGATGCACAATGGCATTTTTCCCCACCATGCCAGCTTGACTTGTGCTGCCTCTGGCTCCTCAGTGAGCTGACTCACTGCACTGTGCTGGCAGGTGACTGACAAGAAAAATATAAAACTATTTCTGCTGTCACCATACCCTTTTCAGAAACATGTTTCTGCACTCAAAAAGACAACAGGCTAATGCCTGCAGATGTCACTGGGAAGAAGACACCTTGTCCAGTTCTGGCTGTGGCAGGGCACATAAACCAGAAATTTTTTCTTCACAGAATAGATTTCACTGCACACAGAAGTTGCAGCTATCACCAGAGAGCTAGAGATTGACAAAATATATTTTTTTTCGCATGGTAAATTTTCCCCATTGGATTGGTAGCCAAAATGTGCAGAGGTAAAATATACAGCAATAATTTACAGGAGTTAAAGCCAAACTCATTCTCTTGCCCAGTACTGAAAATCCTCACAGCCTCCCTCTCTAAGTATTGTCAAAGCAGTAGCTCAGTGCTATCTATCACCCAATTGCTATAGCACAGAGAATTCTGCCAGCTGTTTTGGAAAGTATATTGTATGAAATCTTGGCTGCTCTGAAGACTGAGGCAAAACTTCTGTCACTAGAGCAGCTTTCTACTGTCTGTAGCAAACTTGATCAAAAATTAGATGTGATTTTCCCCTTTCTCTATGTGAGGAATGTCAGAGATTTTGCCATCCCTGAGATCATAGTCTAGCTCTGCTTTGATATTTTAAGGAAATAGACCTAAATGTAGAAATTCAAAATATTCAGTAAAATTCTACATTCTTAGCAATTAAAATGCAGGGTCAAGAAAATAATTCATAAAAAGCAAAGCAAGACAATAACAAACCCCTTTTTTTTCTAGTAGTTTTTCCATCCTGCTATTCACAGCACATAAAGCTGAGAAACTGAAGGACCATAAGCATAAAATAAATTACATTAAAAAAACCCAGTGATTCTACCACTAGTGCAAACATGAAAAATGAAATATTATCCTAAGTATTTAAAGAAATCTAAGCAAGGGCATTTTTAAAAGATCTGTAAGAGTATCACTGTCATTTTATATAGTAGTAGTGGAGTGTCTGTTCTTGAAGTATAGAATAACATAGAGAGTTACAGAATAACATGTTCACCAAATGACACTGTGAGAATCATGACTGGATTTTTAGTATAAAAACAGAGAATTTATAAAAGATAGATCCATCCTGATGTGTAAAACCAGGAAAGACAAAAATGCAAGAACTTGAGGTAGAGAGAAGTAATGACCAGTACTGTACCTGGAAGAATAATTAATTTAGTCTGGGTATATAGACATTTTCTTCTAACACTGAGGTTGATCAGACAGTATGACAATTTGTCACCAGAGTAGAGGCAAGATAATTAATTAGGTTTCTTTAAGGGACTATTAAGTGCACTTATGAGGAGATTAATATAAAACCATAATTGCTTGAAGCAGGTGTTTGGATTATGGTTCTGTGATCTCTTTTGGTCAGGCAAACATTCCCCTTGAAAACTGA